TGTCCCTGGTGAATCCTCTCACCCTCTGCATCTCTGGCCTGTACCCCAGTTCTGTATGAATAAATAAATAAATGAATGAATAGATAGATAGATAGATAGATAGATAGATAGATAGATAGATAGATAGATAGATAGATAGATAGATAGATAGATAGATAAATTATGAAAGGGATACAGCACTAAAAAGCTAAAGCCACTTCAGCATGAGTTCAGTCCCTACCGCAGATAACCTATATGGCTCCACAGACATCTCCTTACCCTCCCACTTCTCCCCTCAGCAGTGTACTTTGTCCATCGGCCTGTTCTGCTTTGGTGAATCCTCCCACCCGCCCTGCACATCTGACCTGTACACCAGTTCTGTATGCATAAAGAAATATTTTTTAAAAATATTTTGAGAAAATCCATATTTTTCTATAAGGGATGAACTAATTTACATTCACAATAGTGTATGTGATTTTTTTTTCTCCACCTCCCAGCATTTCTTATTTTGATATGGATAATTTTCTCACCATTGAGTATGATACTAGCTATGGTTTTGGCATACATGACCTTAGTTATGTTATTTTTTCCCCTTGTATGCCCATTTTGTAAAAAGGTCTTATCATAAATGGAAGCTGGATCTTGTCAAATGTTTTGCCTCCATCTGTTGATATGATCCTATAATATTTGGTTATTTCATCCTTGAAATTAGCTAGTTATAACTTTTTTTTAATTGTTATGGGACTAATTTTTTGTCTTGTTGCCTAATATTCTAATTATTTAAGGTTATGGAGGGAAATAATTTTGTTTAATTGGTTAAAGTTTCATTTTGACATCTGATTATTTGCTGCTGCTCATTTTCAGGAAGGTTTTGAAACTAAATTCAGTTTTATACTGTGCTCTCACAGTGATGGCATATGGTTGAATTGGTGGTGGGAAGTCCATGGGGTTACAACCTAGTATATTTGTGTTTATAAAAAAAAAAAAAAAATCCTTATAATTGTATGGTATCAACTGAGTTATTTTTGTTACTTTTTACTTTCAAATTGTGATGTTGACATCTCTCAGAGGTGAAGGTAGAACTAATGTTCCAGTTTTGACTTTTTATATTCAAAAAGAGTCTTAGCCTTGTCAAATTTATGCACATTATGCCGCAACACCATAGTATAGAATCCCATGCAGTTGTTACTCACTAAGAGGAGGTTGATTTCCTTGACACAGAATATTGGTATCTGTTCATTTTTCTTGCATAAATGAAACAAAGCAGTCCTAATAAAAGTATACTCCTTTGCTTTCAATCACTGAAAACACTCTTTTAAAAAAAATATATTAAAACTGCAGCTGAATCTCAACTTGTATCCTGATAATCTCATCATAAATTGAAAGTGCCATAATTTAAAATGCATTTCATATACCTAACCTTAAATATGCTCTAACCACTTGATTTAGTGTGGATTTTAGCAGAATCATCTAACAGAAAGTTGATTTTATAATAAAGTATTGACTACCTCATGTAATTTATTAATACTCTATTAAAAGAGAAAATCAGAATGACCTAATTAAAAATTTGAAGTATGATTCCTACTGAATACACATCACTTCCTCACAATTGTAAAGTTAACAACAACAACAACAACAACAACAACAAAAATGGAACTATTCTATATTGGGCCTTCCCTGGTGAAGCAGCATGTTGGATCACTGCACTACGATGTTAAGCCTAGTGCTGGCGGCTTCAGTGCAAATACTGTCCCCGCCCCAGAGGTGACCCACAAGGTGCGGCAAACCTCTCCTCCTCACTCGCTGCTCCCCTCAGCAGTGCACTATAAATCTTTAAAATAATAATAAATTATTATACATCAAAGACTTTCTGTATGTGTACCCTTGGTCTTCAGGAACTTAATCCCTCTACTTGTTCATCTACTATTTCCCTGTGTTTTTATGGATGACAGGGTAGGAGTTCTGATGACATTCACAGCTGAAATATAATAGACCTTAAGTCAAGCTCTATATGTATCAGTAACCTCTTTCCTACTGTTTATTTCTATATCTCTCACAGAATTCCCAACTTGTGAACCACTGACTCAATTTATATGCAAAAGTGGAAGATGTATTAGCAGCAAATGGCACTGTGACTCTGGCAAGTACCAAATGTGCACTACACAGCACTGTTTTGATTACAGTCTGGCTGTCTGTGCTGCTTCTCCTCTTTCAGATACAGTTTATGAGAAAAGTTTGTAAAGTGAAATGGGTTAGACAAGTGGTGAGAAGGCAGCTGGCACATCATTTGGGATTAGCATTAATGATCAGGCAGCTCAGTATCTGTTGCCTAGAGATATGATTGATTCTAGATATAATGCAAGACAGAGTTGAACTCCACAGATTAAGGAAATCAGTTGAGGAAATGACCTAGGCAAGTCAGGTTTCACCAAGTACTTTTATAAAATGTTTTGTTATCTCAGATGGAGTAGTTTATAAATTACTATGTTCTTACCAAACCTTCTCAACTCCATCACCCTAATTTGCATGTATGATATACAGCTATAATTATGAGTACAATAATTGTAATAATTATTATTTCAATTGATAATTGCTAAATTATGCCAAGTACAGGTAAATCAATTATATGTAAATTGATGAATTCTCAGCCGATTTCAGTTTAAACTACTACGATAATTTCGCATTCTTCTTAACTCCTTTCTGTAATATTTGTGAGTACTGAATATAAAACTAATTTATAATGATGATGGACAATCGTTTCCCGGAGTAAAAATAGTCCTCACATATTAGTAGATTCTTGGAAACTATCTTTTTAAATGAAATGGCATGTAATGATAGCAGGATCTCAAGTAATGTTATCTTCATTCAGCACATGGTATTTCTTTTTTTCATCAATGTTAAAACTATAACTTTGAATGACTGAAGTGATGTTAATTAAAGATCATGTACACACTTAGCTGGCAGTGGAGAAAGAATACATCATGGACCCTCATATTGAAGAATGGGAAAGGGTAACCTGAATTAAAGATGTAATTATAAACATTGAGGCAGAAAGAGGGCAGACCCAAATAATAACTTTTCATAGCAATTAAATCAGAAGCTATATCACTTCTTGAAATTCCTACAATACCCATTGTTCTCCCATTTTGTAGTTTTTTCATGCTACATAGATTTATGTGATCAGCAGCTAGTGATTTCTGATGAAATAGAAATTAAACTTCAAAATCTGAAGTCGAGAATATTCATCCCTCAGTTTAGTAATTGATATTAAATCAGAAGTGAGGCCTTATAAAAATTAACATAATTCTCCTGCTGCTCATGGTAAATGTTAATCATTGATTTATAATTCCAATTTCAGTAATAAGGGAAAACCATTCCAAGAGAGATGTTAAATATTTCAAGAGAAAAAGTTTCCTTCTGGACTAGTTGTCAATACTTTGTTATTGATGTTTCTTTTTAGATGATGACTGCGGTGATGGGAGTGATGAAGTTGGCTGTGTTCACTCTTGCTTTGACAATCAGTTCAGATGTTCCAGTGGCAGATGTATCCCAGGCCACTGGGCCTGTGATGGGGACAATGACTGTGGAGACTTTAGTGATGAAATCCAAATTAATTGTACCAAAGAAGGTTAGTAACTTTATGAAATCTCATTTTGAATTGACATACAATATTTGAAGTATTTCAGAGTAAATTTAAGAATAAGAAATAAATTGCTCAGCAAATCAAGTATATATACATGGAATTACATAAACTAATTTGCTATGTCATCTTTTCCCCTCCTTTCTCTGATGTCTCAACTTAATAATGGCTGATATTATGATATCTTCTTTGTAGGTTATGCTTTATTTGCATTTGTTGCTTTATTACCAGTATTTTAATTTTTAATTCCCTCCTATTCTAAATAGTCAAGCCATAAATATTCTCCTTCCTCCCACCAAAAAAAACCTGCAAAGGTGTACACACACACACACACACACACACGTATATATACATACACTCATACATATATACATATATGTATATATGCACACACATACATACATACACATACATATACATAAATATATATGTGTATATATATACACACATATATATTTTATTCCCATGTTTTGTTTTTTTTTAAGATTTATTTATTTGTGCATACAGAACTGGGGTACAGGCCAGAGGCTCAGGGGCGGTGAGAGGCTTCACCAGAGACAGAGTGGGAAGCAGAACAGGCAGATCGACGAAGTACACTGCTGAGGGGAGCAGCGGGCGGGTCAGGAGAGGTCTGCCACACCATGTGGTCACCTCCGGGACAGGCGGGAATCGTACTCATGTGGAAGCGGCTTTAGATTCTCAGTGCTGTGCTTTAACCCGCTGCGCCACCAGGGAGGGCAACCCCATGTTTTTTTTGTTTTAGTTTAAATGAGTCACCTATTAAATTCCAACAGTTTGATTTTCTGCATAAAAGTCTGTAATGAAAACTAAGGAAGGAATTCAAGACCATGTCTTTCAGACTCCATAGGGAGTCTGACCCCATCATTTAATGGATTACTTTACAAAATTTTATCAGTCATTGGATATGTTTTTAAATTAGAAACCATGTTGGAAGTATCACAGATAAAATCACTCACCAGTCAGCATTAACACAGACAGTATCATTGTTAAGTAGAAATTTTCTTTCTGATTAGGAAATTGAAAGAAATTGTTATTCACTTTTTAAAAATTTAATATATATATATAAAGGATTTTTTTTTTTATGTGCTAGGCACTGTGCTTGAATTTAAGATTAAATAAAATAATGAAAAAAAATGTGATCCCTGTTCAGGTTCAGGAATATACCATAAAAACAGACTAAGATACAGTGATTTATTTAATAAGATAAGACAGAGACAAGGGAAATCATCTACTGTATGATGATAAGAAATAATTTTCAAAGTGCTGTCTGAGGTAGTATAATATCTCCTACAACCTATATAATAGGAATTTCTAATGAGTATTCTCTGACATAGTCTCCTTTTATTTGTCTTCATCCTCTCTCTCCCTCCCTTCCTTTCTCTTCCTTCCTCCTCAACTCTAAAAACTATAAACACCTGTAAACAATAGCTATTGAAATTATGTGCACAATACTAGATTCTCAAAAGAAAAACCCTGTCTTTTTTGTAAATTCTTTAAATTATTTAGCAAAAGTCATATTATTTGATTTTGGTTTTAATCATTTTAAGACCTGGGCCACAAGCATGGTACTGATGATAGAAATTAAAGCAGAGCAATACACATGAACCATGTGGCAGTGAAACATATTTAATGGTCGTTGGTCTCAACATCATTCATGGCTTTCCCTAGTGGTGGACATAATAGATGTCATAAGGAAACAGAAAATGTATAGAAACTATTTTGGGAAAATGTCGTAAAGTTGAACATGATTGTATTTGAATTTAATGTTGTTCTCAAATCAAGAGAATAATGAATTATACAGCTACTATTTATTTATTTTCTGTCTCTTATTTTCTCTTATATAGTAGCATCAAGTGTATGATAACATTTACCCTCCATTATTCTCTATCTTTTCTTCATTCTTGTGTTCTTCTGACTCACTATGCTTATGAGATAGATATTTTTTTTTTAACTGATGTGATAGGGACAGTATGTATAAAATGTTTTCAAATGATTTTCTGTGTGTATTTGAAATACTCATTTGTGTATAGTTAAATTCAATTTCTAAATTACACTTTGCATATAAACTTCCCCCCTACCCCACAGATGTCTTTGTAGGCTCCTCGGGAAAGTGCATCTGTGGCCTGTTGGCATTACTCCATAAATGCTGTGAGAGATAAATTGCCTTAAAGTTAATTCCTTTTCCTATCACAAGTGAGATTCTACCCCTTCCTATTGTGTTTATTTCTGTTATGTAACCATTGCACATTAAGAAGTTTTGTCAAGATTGGTTTAGCCTCATGATTATCTGAAGGAATGGTACACTGCTTTCTAGGCTATTTAGGCAAATTTTGGAGTTTGGATTAGAGAAAAGCAGTGACCGTTTATTGATGATGGTTTTCTATTAGAGCACCTCAGTTTCACTAATGCACTAGTGTATAGCATATACTGTCAATGAGAATGTTATGCAGATTTTATATGACTATGGTAATGATCCAGAAATTCTACATGATTCTTGGTCTTATTTCAAGCGAATAATGAGAACTTCCTAAACTAATGTACACTTGCTAGATTATAAATGCTCCAAAATTCCTAACAAATAACCTAGCAGGTGAATGCAAGGTGCTAGCATTGAGGAAAATATTGTATTGATTTTGTTATAAGAGAATCCAGAGTAGTTAAAAGTGCACTTAATTAGTAAATACATAGTTATTTTGATTGTAGGGTATATGACACAGAAGCTGCAGAATAACCATGACACAGAATTGTTAACGTTGATCAGGAAAGTCATTTTGCACATGCAGGATTTGCAAGGCCACTGCCAAGGTAAAGTAGAAATTTGATACAATTAGACACATAATTCAGTCTGAAAACCTGCTGTGGTAGAAAAAAAAAAAAAAAAACAGGGAATTCTGGCTTGAGTTTCAAGACTGACTGTCAAAACTGATCAAATCCACCATATAATTGTTCAGCACTTTGCTTTACACTGCCTGGGTAAGCAGAGCATATGGTGTGACTTTTCTCAGCTCAAATTGTTTTTAAAAGGGCAGAAAGACTTTTGAGTTAACTTCTTATGATAAAGGAGCAGGAGAAAGCAAGAACTTAATTTCCATTACAAAAAAATTCCTGTTTATAAATTAATTCATATTGTCTCTAAAGCACTTCCAAAAAAGAATTCTGTAGTGATGATTTTTTTTAAATATCAATATGATTAAATTATGGGGAAAGTGAAATGGATAGTCTCCTACATAAACTAATGTCTGGCGATTTCCTCCCTTCTTGATGTTGTGTTCTTCTTTAATTTTCAATTACTAGAAAAAAATGCAGTTATTACAGAAACCCCTGTTTTCATAGTTTTTCTAATAAACACATGTGTGCATATGCACACACACGTATCATAAGTGCACTAGAGAGACAATCAGAGCACACTGACCCCTTGCTTGGTTTTACTGCCTGTTTATCATTACTTTAGCACTGGGTCCTTCTTGGTCTTAATCCCTTAATATCCCTGCATTGATACTTTGGTAAAGCTGCTAAATGAATAGATATTTTACCAGGTGGAAAACTAAGTGAGGCTAGATCCTCAAAGTATTTGGTTATAAGGAAATTCCTTGAGACTCAGATGTGAAACCATATTGAAGTATTGAAAAGTTTTGTAAAAAGATAGTTTTATCTGTACAGACATCAAGATTAAAGTTAAAATGAAATGCAGTTTTTCCTTTAAAATTTCAAGCTCTCTGAATGAAATGGTAAACAAAATAAAATAAAAAGAAGGAAGAAAGAAGGAGAATCTGGACATATGTCCATATCTCATAAAATACAAATACAAAACACAAAGAGAGAATAGCTATTACCTCATTGTTAACAGTTTCATTTACTGTGTAACTTTACATTTTTTGCTTCTTTTGTGAATAATCGCAACCATATTTACCTAAGAAATAAGCATCTCTAAAATGAGCATATTAACTCACTCAGTATCCTTAGACAGTTGTTGCCCTGGTAAATTTTTATTCAGAAATTTTTGTAGAAAGTGAAGCCATGTAATTTCAAAATGAACTGGTAAAGAGGACAGGATGTCTTTTTTTTCTACAACAGATTATTTTCTAAATTTTGTAATTTCTTCTATCTACAACTTAACTACCATTCAAATATTTGGATTCTGCTTTAAAGAATCTGATGCATATTTGTGGCCAGCATTTTTTAATGCAATCTTTTTATCTAAAAAGAAAATATTTACTGCCTGCTGAGTTAAGTGAATAAGCTTATGTAACTTATTTATATGCAACTGCAGATTAAATGCAAATTTAAAATTAAGTGTGACTTGACCTTCAATTTTGATTTATTATAAAAATTTTAACAAATTCTGAAATCCACTAGACCATTAAATGCATAACATTATTAATATGTATGCTCATATTCTTTTGCATTAACTATTTAACCTCACTTTCACTTTCAAATGTTCTACTTTTCTTTTAGACTTTGTCCTTATCCATTCATACATTCATTCAGTCATTTATTCATTAACCTCATTAATTTTGTGACCAGATTGAAGAGGAAAGCTAAAATTATTTTATCTTTGTGGTTTCAAAGTTAAGCACAATATTTGGTGTATAAGTAAGCGAGTGATAAGAAAATTGTCACAAAGTTGATTTCATGACCACACAATTTGCTTATCTTCTTAGAATCCAACTTTGATATGTTTTTTTTCTCATAGATCTAAAAACTCTTTCTCTTTCCTCACATTACATTGAGATCCTACAGTTAATTTCATGATATTTAACAAGATCAGTGGTCCTGAGATTGTCTTCTGCATTTCCTTAGTAGCATCCATTAGTGCATTTTCATACAATGCAATCACTTGCAGTTATCCAATAAACACATACTATTTCAATCCAGGATTCAATAAAATAAAATAGACAGAATGTCTCCTTTATCTTTTATTAATGTTTATTTTTTATTTAAGTATCTCTTCCCAATACAGAGTAAGT